GATTTCTTCAGGGAAGAAAAGAAGGGCCGGGAAAACAATGAGCAACACAATGGACAATGAGATCCCTGAGGAGATCTGAACCCCTTCCCCTCAAACCTACACACTGAAATCAGCTGCCAGCAGCGTTTTTAAACCCTCAAACCTTCACTTCAGGCRGTGATCTGTGACCCCACAACAGTAAACAACCCCAAATCCCAGAGMGACAAAGACGGGAAAAATACAGGAATGCAGCAGGGAAAGCACCTCATTCCTGCAAACAGAAATGCAGAAAGCATTTGTGCTCTCTAGGAGTCACCAGGGGAGAAATGCAGGAAAATTCCACTGATTCACCATCAGCCCACGGTTATTTTTGTCCTCCTGCTTGACTGCAAACACAGTGATGATTTAAATGCAGGAGAGCAGACTGGAACACATTAAAACAATGCATTAACTCCGAAAAAACTGAAATATAAGATGGTCTTAAATAAAGGAAGGACGTGCCTTTGCATACGAGGGAAATTAAAAAAGTGCCAGGTTTCATTTCTCAATTTTACCATATTGAAGGCAGAAATTGTTTGAACCTCCAGCCCTAAGGATGCTCAAATCTGTTGCTTTCAGATGGCCAGGGTGGGAGTTCATGGAAGCTGACAGAAAATTTCTTTTGAAATTCTCTGGAATGCAGCTCTGAGCCAAGGKGAGCAGTGAAAATCCTGGAGGAGGCTGCATGTCCTGGGTTTAACCCCAAAAATGAGGGGGGAGATCCAAGGAAAGAAGAAAAYGTTGAGAGGAGCAGGAAACAGCTGGAGGAACCACAGCAGGTGCTGCAGCAGCTCCACCGTGGCCTTGTTAAGGTAATTTCACTGAAATTAATTTTTTTTTGCTATCTGAATGTTCACTTCATCTTTAGGTGCACAAAAATGGGGGAAATTGCTTTTCTTTTCTACCCAAYGCCCCTCCTCAGCAGAGCAAGGATTATCAGAAGGACCAGGACAAGAGTTGCCTTCAGCTTTTAAAAACCTGGCAGTGGAAAGCCCTGGAAAATCTGGGAAGGACCAGATCAAACCCAAAAGCTGGACTTGAGTCATGCCACTAAAAAGCAATTAAACAAAAAGATCAAATTAAATAATAAATAAACCAAATTAAAATAAATTAAAATACATTAAATAAAATAAAATAAAATTAAATTAAATTAAAATAAATGAATGAAAAAATAATTAAGGAAAAAAAGAATTAAAATTAAAATCAACTCTCCCAAGTGGTGACTGAACCTCACCCCACCAAGCCCAGTGGCCACCACGCTCCATCATGGAGCTGCACAAGGGTGTCACAGGATTT